GGAAACCTCTTGTTAAGTGCAAGATAGACAAATGATCGGGTATCCCTCGAATCGAATAACACCTGGACTGGGATACCGTTCACATGGAACGATCCTAAACAACACATAAAACATACACATAAATATCATAACTGACATGTAATAAAAGTTAGGGAAAAGAAAACATACCCGTCACCACATCTGGTGCGGCACGCGCTTCCTCGTCGGTCAGATAGAAGACTCGACTCCTTACCACTGGAGCATCTATCTTGCCCTGTCGTTCATCTGTGATTCGTAGTTTCGCTGAAGTTGGCGCTGCTGGTACTAGTCTCGGGCAATCAGCCTTTTTATGGCCCTTCTTATTGAAATGGAAGCAAATCAGGTCTAATGTCTGAAAGGTGGGGGTAGGGGTAGCACAATCCTTGCCAAAGTGCCTGGTGTTGCTGCACTTATAGGAGCCCGATAACCCTAATCTACAAACCCCCTCATGAGGCTTGTCGCACTTCCCGCAGTGGCTCCGACATTGATGGCCCTTCGACCTATAGTAGAATCCCTTGGGTCTCTTCCCCGAAACCTCAGTCACCTGTCCAGCCTCAACCTTCCTCTTCCGGATATTCTCTATATCAATCTCCCTCTCTCTTGCCCTGGCAATCATGTCATCTAATGTCGAACATGCTGAGTAGCTAACATGTTTCTGAATGTCAGCTCTCAACATGTCATGGTAGTCGGTCTTCCACGTCTCCTCGTCCCCTACATACTGAGGACCAATAAGGCCCTCTCCTTGAACTTGGTGGTAATCTCTTCCACCACCTCATTCTTCTGCTTCAGACCTAATAACTCTCTAGCCAGGTGTTGAAGCTCCATATCCAGCGTAAAATCGGCCCTAAACCTGGCCACAAAATCCGACCAAGTCATAGCCTCAATCGATGGGGCTCCCAGTGAATCACCAATTGAATCACACCAATCTCTAGCTTTGTCTCTCAAACAACCTGCATCATAGTAGACCTTCGACCCCTTCGGGAAGAAGCTCGTCAACTGTGCAGACTCAATGTCTGCAATCTATCTCCTGGAAATAATGGGGTCCTTCACCCCGTGGAAGTCTGGCGCACCACATCCCCTAAAGTCCTTGAAGGAGAGTGTGTGTGTCCCTGCATGGCCAGATGCCATGTCTCTCCTAAACGCCTTGAGGCAATCCTCTATCAGCTCGATAATCCCTTCCTTGATCAACCTGAAAATCACCGGGTCGCCTCAAGGATGCCTCTCGTGATCTCAGAAGCGATGAACTCGCACATTCCATCATCAACTAGCTCGAAACCTACCAATGAGCATGAACCTAATCCTATCCCAGACCCTGAAACTCCTGCTTCATGATGTGTCACGACCATTCTGAAACAAAACATATAATTGTCAGGGTCATACATACCTCGAGAGGTCTCACACACTCTACAAGTTCCATGGTTCTATATTATGGATCCTCTGCTTTCAGTAGTACGGGCCCATACTACCTTCCACGTCTATTCGTACTTTCCTCAAGGATTGCTTCAACTTCACTAAGTCCCTTCTACTACTGTTTCACTATGTGCTAATCTCATCCTAGGCTTACCCTAGGGTAACTCTCCAACCGACTCTCCGCTATCACCTGCGTAAGAAGTCTCTGCTACCTTTACCTAACTAGCTCGTGAATACCATTACATATCACTAAGACTAGATAATTCCTCAAATGAGAGGTCCTACCATACAACGGTTGGACTCAAACAAGAGCTGTGAAATAGGGCTAGACCTAACCTTCTGAAATTATTTAGTTCTCACAATATGTAACTTAACATATTCGTTTACTAGTTAATTAAAGATAACTATAACTTCTAATAGCACAGAGCAAGCATCACTCGGGCATTGAGTAACCCAAACCAAGCATATCCTATCCAGGCTATCATATCATCATATCACTGACTAGTTAGTATTATCATGCAGCTCAATAAGCACATACAATAGACATATCAGGCATCTTCCTAGATCCTTAACCCTAATCTAGCATGTAGTTTTCATAATCATATCATATCATAACGTAAAATGTATGGGTATCTTGGGGAAAACATACTTGAGCTCGGTCGGTTACACGCATCACACACCTTGTTCTTTCTCAAAACTCTTTACTTTAACTTTTGGAAAAACTATTTTCGTGAGAAAATCTTTCAAACCCTCGATTTGAGTTCAGATACTCCCGAAAGTGTGTCCGAATCTTATAAACCAATGCTCTGATACCAACTTGTAACATTCTAATTTTCAAGACCAAAAATATCATTTTTGATATAAGGATTCATAAAACAATTTATAGAAAAACATCATCAACTTATTTCATTTCATAAAAACCATAGATCACATGTCTCAACCATATCATAAACTATTAATAATGTCAGGGTACAACCCAAGAATCTCATAATGCGGAAAGCATGTGTGTGTGATGCGTTGCTACCGTGGCGTCTCCTTCCCCTTCGATGACGAGGTACCTTAAAACAAAACTGAAAACTATAAGCACAATGCTTAGTGAGTTCCCCCATCATACCACATATCATAATATAAACATATTGCCAGGCATATCTGGGTGCCCAACCTACCATGCTGAGCATACCGGGGTGCTCAACCTACCCCTGTTAGGCATATTGGGATGCCTAACCTACACCTACCAGACATACAAGGTGCCCGACCTATCCCTTCGATTTATCTCAACCGTTTACAAGGACTATATAACCCCTACTACTACCATATAAAAACATAGCATAATTATACTGTCAGGCACACTGGGGTGCCCGACCTACCCCTTAGCCCTATCGACTGGATATGGGGACTATTCCCCCTACTACCACTATCATATAATATCATATCATACTAGAGCATAAAACATAATAGATGGTGGCAAACCATAAAATTATCACGAAGATAGTCATCCACAATCACTCCTACTAGTGGGTCGGCATTGTGGCCTTAGACCCACTTCTACTGGAGGGTAACTCACCTTTATGTCGTGTAGTATCTGAACTGTCCTTGGTGTTGGGATCAACTCCTCTCAAGCTCCGACATATAACAATCTTCCTTAATTACCCTTTCATACTCATAACCCTTTCAAGGGTCAACTTAGGTCAAAGTCGAATTTAAGGTCAACACCTTGGTCAAAGTTAAATTTTGGTCAAAGTCAACATCTGGTTGAATCAACCTGCCGAGTTAGTCCACCAACACATCAAGTTCCATATTCCACAAATTTATGGATCTTCGATCCTACTCGTTGAGTCTTTCAAGAACTCGTTGAGCTCCTCCTACATAGTCGGGACCTTTTGCTCATGACTCGCCGAGTTCATCCTTGAACTCGTTGAGTCTTGCTTCATATCAGTTGGGACATTTAGCCCTTGACTCACCGAGTTCTTCCTTGAACTTGTCAAGTTCTTCTTTATAACAGTCAGGACATTTGCTTTCAACTCGCTGAGTTCATCCTTGAACTCATCAAGTTCTTCGGTTTTCGAGTCCATAATCATGATCATCTTGTCGAGTCCTTTTCTAGACTCAACAAGATTGTTCAGAAACAGAAAAGGTTGGGGAACCACAACCCGACTCGCCGAGTCCTATGAACGACTCATCAAGTCCTCCAAAGTCCAAGTCTATCTAGTCGATTTCAGTCGGGCTTATTGCATCCAGAGCATAGATCTAACCTCCTAGGGTCGATATAACACGTAAAGTTACAAACTTTACATGCATGCATGGGCGTTATGAAGCTTGAACACCAAAACTAGGCCATCAAGGAGTTCTAATGCATGGGATAGGGCCATAGCTCAATAAAGGTGGCAACTTTAAGCTTCATGAGCTCAAATGTTCCAGATCTGAAGTCATCACTCTAACATGCACTCAAATCCCGAAAGTGACTTGGGAATGGCCCAAAAATGACAATATACAAGCCCTAAAGAAGATACAGGTGATGGAAAGCCAAGGTTTAAGCTTTATACCTCAAACAAGCTAGAAATGCAACCCAAGCTCTGGATCTACTGCCTTCTTCTTGAATCTCCAAGCCTTTCCTTCCTTCTCTATGCTTCAAATCACAAAAATGGCACAAAATAGCTCAAGAACACTCAAAATTCAATTAGGGTTTCGTAAACAGGGTTTAGAGGTGATGGAGGTTGCAGTGGAGGCCATATAAGGTGTTTAAACAGGGTGAAAACCCTGAAATTTAGGGTTTCATTCAGATAGATCTACTCATCGAGTCGGGATTCCAACTTGTCGAGTAGACTCTTCCGCCCACGAGCATGATCCGCCCTTACTCGATGAGTTTGGGGCCTCCAACTCGTCGAGTCCCAGTATAAAAATGCATAATTCTTATTTAAAGTACGTATCAGGAACCGAACGTTACATCGTTTCTCCTATTAAGACCACTTTCGAGACCTTAAACTCATGCATGGTCTCCATACAACCTTTAATATGGCATCTTTATGAATCAAGCATGCTCAAAGAGCTTACATATAACAATCCAAGTCTCTAGAGTTGCTCAACTATCAAGAGAGGTTCCAAGAACCAAAAATGGACTTCATATCCAAACCCTAACTGAAACTAACAAAAGGGATAGCAAGGTTACGACTTTTTACCTCCAGAAGTTCTTCAAGATGAACTAGATCCATGATCTAGAAGCTCAATAACATTCAAGATTTATTCATCACCTTCGTCTTCTTGAACACCATATAGAAAAGTCACCAAACACACCTTTAAGCTCAAATCTCACAAGTTCTTGCAAAATAGGGTTTAAGGATGAAGTGAGGCTATGGAGGTTGATTAGGGTTTGGTCCAAATGTTATAAGGTTGTTTAAATAGGATGAAAGACAAGAAATTAAGGGTTTAGCCATCTGCCACGTACGCCCAACGTACAAGCCTCAGTCACTCGATGCACACACACGCGTACGCTAATCGTACCCAAATGTACGCCCATCGTATGGAAGCACCCTTTTTGCCAAAAATGAAATACTTGAGGATAAACAATGGAATACCTAGATTGGAGTGTTACAACTTCCACGTTCACCTTCACCCTTTCCCTTTTTTACACCATTTCCCCTTTGCACTTGACCCTTCCATTTCTTAAATGCACTAGCTTGACCCTTCCATTTCTTCAATGCATTACCCATATCACATTCACCTTCAACCATCCTCTTTTTGACCTGAATTTTTTTAGGGATTTGACACTACATCACAGGTTGACTTATCGTGGCCTGTCTTTTTACAAACACCACATACAATCTTTTTTACTAACTTAGATACTCTGTGTAATCCATTAACCTTTGTACCGTCCCTCTTTCTCTTTATAATGGGTCTCCCTAGCATCTTTATTTTCAATGGTGGCAATGGTGGTATGTAGTCTGTTGGGGGCCACATTGCACTCCCATTTATGCTTCCTATTGAGTACTTGTACGTGTTCATATATATGCAAGCACGATATAAAAGATCAACAAATGCCTCTACATCTTTGTTTACATAAGAAATGGCTGCCAGTAAATGTACACAACCATACCCATTCAGTTGCCAAATCTTACAAGTACATGTTTTCTTTTCCAAATCAACACCATAAGACTCTCCTAAGTTGCTTGTTTCAAAGGTATTCAGAACATTAGGAAGCACTTGCCAGTACTTATAAATAAACATAGTTAGTAAGAGCTACTATGTGAATAAGAGTTTCAGAGAAGAATAAAATACCTTTGTTGGATCTTCAGTTCATTTATGGAAAGCCTTATGTTTGGACATACATCAAAATGTCCCTATCTACTTCCTTTCTATCTAAAACTACACATCCTCTATATCACATATAGTCTAATATCCTATAGCATAGTAATAATTGGCTTTTTCCTAGCCTCCCAGATAAAATTGTTAAAGTTTTTAGACAACCCATTCTCAACAGCATCACACCCCCTTCCATTTTGAAAAACTTCTCTTGACCATGAGTTTGGATTCCTTCCCATAAGATGCACATAAGCAGCAGGGCTAATCATTTGAATCTCTTTTATTATAGAATTGAAAAGAGGATTAGTTGATGCCTTACAAGCCTTCCAAAATAATTTCTTAGATTGAGCCCCATGAAATTTCTTCTTGACGTTGGAAAGAACATGTCTGACACATTGCCTATGTTCTATCTCTGGGAATAAATCCTTCTCTGCTTCACTTATCCCCTGCATTTACATCATAAGAACATTTAGAATTAAATCACATTTGAAACAAATAAGCCATGACATTATGAACACAAACATACCTTATGTTGATCTAACATCAATGTCTTACCAAACCCACCTTCAAGATGCAGATCTTCATGTGAATTTTCTAAGAACCATTTCCAGTTGTCTTTATTTTCAACACAAACTACAACCCAAGCTATTGGTTATATATGATTGTTTCCATCCATACCAAGAACACATAATAACTGACCAGTACACATTCCTTTTAGAAAACACCCATATAAGTCTATTATTCTTCTACAGCCACTTCTCCAACCCTCATTCATTGCATGAATATATATATATATATATATATATATATATATATATATATACTGCTAAAGTAAGTTTTTCCATCTGGCATAGTGTTCACAGACAGCTTGACTGTTGACCTTAGATTAGACCTTTTTTATCTCCTCACCATAGGATCACAACTTTGCATAATTTTCCACCGTGGTACCTTCAATAAGAGACATTGCATTTTTCTTAGATCTCCTACCTTGTCTCATACTAACCTCTATGCCAAATTTAATCTTTACTTCCTTTTTTAGCATCCTCACATTGAATTTTTGATTCTCAAGAACTTCCATGGTGAAATGAATACCAATCCATCTATAATTAATAATTGATTCTAACTTAAAATTTCTTGCACAATTATGCTCATTGATAAGGGACTTGATTTGGAATGAGTGCTTCTCACTCATCCATGACGCCCAGAGCCTAAATATGCATTCACCATCACAATACTTAACCAATAACATTTTACTGTCATTCTTTTCAAAGTACAATTGATACCCATTTGCTACAACATAATTACAAAGCATGAATTTCAATTGTTTAGGGTTGGTGAACCTTATACCTAGAATTGGCAACTGCTTCTTCCAATACATGAATTCATTAAACATTGGTTTTCCTTTCACATTTGGTACATTCTCATCTTCATCATCTTTTGGATCACCTTCTATAGCATCCTCATTTCCATTTGCCTAACTTACTCCTTCGTAGGTTACTCCTTCCATGTTTCTCTGTTATGGACTCATGAAGTCAGTTATGTCAATACCTTCTTCCCCTTCGATTGACATGTTTGACTTCACAGATAATTATCTAGATTTTCATTTTGTGACAACCCGAAATTTCCATTCTATACAAACAGTATCACTTCAATAGAAGTTATAACAGTCATAGTCGATTTTCAGACTTTTCGTATAAGTTGGAGTAATTTAGGGTTCACACTTCAGTGAATATCAGGAGAGTGGATGCACTACGGTTTTGTGCAACACTGTTATTCCAACACCCTGTTATATTGGAAATCATTTCAGGAATAAAAATATATCTGTCAAAAATATCTCAGGACTATAAATAGATTTCTGAACTAAATTCATTCATTATTCACAATTCCAACTAGAGAAAAGCCATTTTCTCTCTCACGGATCTTCGGGTTTTCGTCCCAAATCGTGAGTACACTTCTCTAGTTGTTATTTAATGCTTGTTATATGCTTAATAACATATATTACATGTCAAATATGTGAGATTCGGGAGTTTACCGCCCAAGAACGTTCTTGGGGAGTAAACTCCAAAACGAAGCTTAAAGGCTATCTAGTCCCATTTCCTTGTTAGGTAACTAGCTTAGGATGATATGTAGGTACATTAAAGGCTAGAAAACAACCAAAAACACATAACTTTAGGAGTTCATGGACCAAGAAAGTCTTAGGCCGTAAACTCCAAATTCAAGGGACATAATGTGCCCTAATCACTCCTAAAGGCTTTAGACTTTAACCCTCAATTACCTCTAGCTAATATGGGGACATTAACACATCAAAAACACCCCTTAAAGGGAGTTTACAGCCAAGGAATACTCTTGGGCCGTAAACTCTAAATAAGGGCACCAAAGTGTGCCTAGGGTCCTCTTTAGCCTTAAACAAAAGCCTAGAAGTTATCCTACTTGTGCAAGAGACTTGAAAGAATTAAAACACCCATCCCTTGAGATTTTACGGTTTTAAACTCCAAAAGAAATGGTCTTTTGGCTGTAAACTCCTCAAAGGAGTATTTTAAGGCCCTAAACTACCCAAAGGATTAAACCACCAAGCAAGGTTTGTTCTAGAAATCAAACAACACTTCAAAACACCAAAAACCACCAAGATTGGAGTTCACGGCCGTAAAATCAAGGGTTTACGACCGTAAACTCCTTGTGTGGAGTTTATTGGGTAGTAAACTCTTATATAAAGCCCTTTGGAACATTAAACCCCTTTAGCCTTGTCACACAACCACTTAGATGCAACCATTAGGACCTATAACACTTATACAAAGTGTTTACATGTTCCTGAGTATCCCAACTTATTTCATTATATGATAACTAGGCTCGTGCGTGTGAACAAGTCTCTGTTTGCCACCTAGCACGATATCCGACACTTCAATCGAATCCACTCACCACAAGTGAGTTCATACCCCTTTAATTAACCTTTGAAATACTTTTAAATGTTTTAAATACTTTATGGGGGGGATACAAGTTAAATGCTCATACTTATTGCATCAATCACATGTGATTACATTAATCACATGCGATTAATAACTAGAAAACCAATGATTTTATCGTTGTTCAAACTGTTTTACTTCAAACTGTTTTACAAACTCTTTTACTTATCAAATGCTTTTATTTAAACTTTGTTACACTTCTTATAAATTGCATTCCCATATATGTATAGATATATAAGCAAAGTTTAAAGGGCTTAGGAAGGCCATCCGCCCTATTTCCTTTTCGCGCTTGAGATGTGGTCTGGTGGGATTTCGGGTAGTCGTCCGAAGGTCGTTTCAATATTAGTTATATATCAAATATACATATATACACATAAAAGTACTTCCATATTCATACTTATCAGTATATCATCAGTAAGTTACCATCGGGGTAACATAGGATCATACTACTACAATTTCTAGATCAACGAGTCAGTTCATTCATGAGTCAATACTTACTACTAGAAGAACATATACAACTATACTAGAAAGAGAACATATACAACGATACTAGAACAAGTAACATTACATTACATATACACGAATACGATAACAATTGTGATCCACTGTATGGGAGCATGCCTTAATTGTCATGACCCGAGTTGTAGCCAGAGTCTCTTGAAGGGAGAGCGTGAGTTTGCGTATAGATCTATACTGGATTGACTATCCTACACCTTGCTGCTAGCTACAGCGGGACCGGCAGGTCTGCGGGTGCCAAACGTCATACCTTATATTTTTTCAACTATACGTTGTCGTTGTTACCAATCTATAGTATGGTGCAATTTATCACATGATACCTTAATATAAATCCGGTTTAAGGTAGTAAGTACAGCAGTAGTTCCTATAATACAACACTACAGTACTACAATAATTTACCCATTACATACTTTTAGTGATTGTTTCACTTAAACTTTAATGTACAAACTATATTTTGTTAAATGATAGTTACACTTGGGAAATTACACATTTTTACAACAAACGAGCATACAAAACAGTTAAGCCTTGGTAGAAGGCTACTTTAATAGAAAATATAGGTTTTTCTGAGAGATTCAAACTTGTACAAACACTTACAAACATTTACTTACATTTTACAAACTTACACTTGAGACATGTTCAAACGTTTTTGGATGACAAATACCGACACTAAAATACTTATGAACTCGCCAGCTTAATGCTGATAAACTCTTTCAAAATAACTTGTATTCTCAGGTCATCAACAGACAGGTACCGAGGCCAACTTTTGAGAAGATGGAGCGCATCCAAGACTCATCTTATTATTTTGATTTACATTATTTTTGGTGTCTATAACTGTACAGAACACTCTTGTATTAAAATTATATATTTAATGCAATGGATGATGTTGTCTGCTTATTTACATTTACTGTGTTGTGATACTTTACATGACGTCCTCCGCCCCAGAAAGTTTCCGCCGTTCTTGGTTTTGGGGTGTGACACATTTTCCTTAGTTACATGCACTGTAGTACCAAAATGGTCCATGTAAACAGGCAGTTGTACTCCGCATCGATAAGTAATGTCTATAAATTCTTAATATTGAATTTCATTAGAAATCAAGGTTAAACCTTATGGGATTTGTAAATCAGGTTAACAACAATAAACCATCTCACACTTCTCTTGTGTGAATCGTTCAAGAAAACCCACAAACTCATTATATGACATACCAGAAAAATCGATATTCTCGAACATATGATGAACACCATCATAATAACAAAAAGGTTTGTTGGTGAACACACATTGGAAATGAACTTTGATTGAGAAGAAAATAGCCATCAATCTTCAGTTACTATGGTGGGATGACGGGTTTCTTCAATGAGGAGGAGGGCTTTCTTAAATGGGGGAGGGGAGGGGGGATTGTAGAACGCAATTGGTTTATTTAAAACAAATTAATATAAATGTATTACACGTGGCTATTTAATTAAATGACTTGACACCGACATTTTCCTTCGTGACATGTATATTACCTTTCAACCCGGTTTCAAGTAACATAAGAATATTTTAAAACAGGGAAATGAGAGTTTATTCCTTTAATGTGCAAAAGAAAAAGTTTAGTGAGGTTTTAAAACAAACACGATAAGTTTGATGGACTGATATGACATTTGTCCTTTTTGTTTCTCAAAACATGGATTATATATATATATATATATATATATATATATATATATATATATATATATATATATATATATATATATATATGAGGGTTCAATTGATAAAAAAAAGGTTGAGAATGAGTGAATCATTTTTAGCCAATTATTTAATCTAAGCATAAAAAGACATGGTGACAAACTTGTAAATATGATAATAACCTTCAATCTCAAATACGTAACTGTAGAGAATTAGATAACAGTTCAAATCAATTCATATTCGATCGTTCATCATCCAAATTTCCCCTCCAACCTTCAACAATCATCCAGATGTCTTCAATTAAACCATCATCAATGTCATTCGGTGTTAATCAATCATCGATCTTTGTCAATAACACGTTTATCAACATCATTCAACAGTTGACAACAAATATTTTGTTTTTGGTTCTTTTAATCCAACCTTCAATTATGTTTGAATAGATCATATCTTCAACATCTACGATTAGTTATACTCCCTATGTCATTAGATATACATCATCGATAATAAAAAAAATCCACTTCATATCATTCATTCATCATCGATCATCAAATAAAACTTCAAAATTAAGGTTAGAAAAAGATCAAGTCGTTTTTTTTTTTTTTGAAAAAATTCATATAATTATTTATCAATCACCTATTTTGTAATATTTAAATAGTCAAAGTATCATGTTTTTAACATTTTTAAAAAAGTTAACTTGTATGCACTCCAACTGTTTGATGAAATGCATAAACTAAATTACCACGTTATATTCACATATGAATATGTTTTCTCACCTGAATCGGTATATGATTATTACAACACAAAACAAATATGCAAGTCCGTATGTTATTCATATATGAATAACATATAAAAAATTATATATATTTCTGAAAACACCTTATAATATTCATATGTGAATATAGTGAGTGATATTCATAAGTGAATATATCATATAATATTCACAAGTAAATATACTATGTAATATTCATATATGATATACCATGTAATACTATGTAATATTCACATATGGCAATATCATCTAATGTTTATAAGCAAATATATAATCTAATATTCATAAATGAATATACTATATAATATTCACAAGTGAATGCACAATCTAATATTTAAATATGAACGTAATATGTTTATTATATGCTATATTCATATATGAATGATACTTAAATTGTAAAAAAAATTAATCATATTTTTTATTCATAAGTGAATAACGAATGCACTATAGTAAAAATCTGATGCATTTTTATTCATTTATGAATATCATAAATAACGATATGTGAAAATTAAAAGAGAAATTCTTTATTTTATATTAAAACTATATCAATATGGATGTCTATTTGTAGAGAATAAAAAATCATTAATATTGGTATATTTAAAATCATTTTTCAATAAAAATAGATTCTTACAAATTAAGAAAAACGAAAAAAAAAAAAAA